AAACCTCTAAACTGTGAGCCAAAATAAACCTTTCCCCTTTCAATCCCCTGAAGGATTTAATTTCCTGCCCTGTAGACCTCCCCTAGCCTTTCTGTCTAATCCCTATCCCAAGGCATTTCTGGAAATAAAGAAGTAATCCCTGTTGTAAAGATTTAAATCCTGAATGTAAGCCCCTGACTGACTTAAATGTCAGTTACAATCTGGTAAAATATATAGATGCTATCTTCCTGTTACAGACTGTTGGCATTGGAAGTAACTTAGAAGTTGCTGGCTCCTCCTCAAATTACAGCAGTGGAAATCTTAAATAACTTCTTTGAAATTCCATGGCAGAAACAAAGAATAGCACTACCTCAAGTCTTTATTCCAGGCCTAGTGCTCTTTCTATTACCTTCTGACACCTCTACCTGCCTTTAATGTTGTTTAAAAACAATGGAAGCTTTATCCATTCTTGGGAGCTAAACAAGCTTCATTTGAGCAGGAAATATATAAAGGAAAATGTTTTAGAAATCTGGGAAAGGGCCAGGTTTGTCGTTCAGTGTAGACATTGACTTCAAGAATTTATGTTGCCTCTCCATGTTTTAGCAGTTCCAGACACATTTTGGCATCAAACCACACAGACTCTACAGGAATTGTTGTGAAAGTTGATGAGGTAACTCATAAAAATCTGTTCACTATTCAGATGAAAGTCACACTGTGTCTAGAAATGACAGATTGTCAGATACACAGCACAGACTCTTCTATCTCATAATAGTTTGACAGTGTGAGGTTCCAGCTAACTAAGCTCCCATTGTGGTTAGTTAACTAAGCACTCCCCCATTTGCTACCCTGAGATCTTTTTGTTTGTTTGGTTGTTTGTTTTTGTGCTGGGGATTAAAGCCAGAGCTTTGTGGCATACTAAGTGTACACTGTATTACTGAGCTAGATTTCAAGTCTCCATTCTTAACCTGGTTGATAAAAAGTTCACTTATTCTAAGTCCTCGAGTTTTAAAATAACAAGGTCTTTGCTTAACTTCTCTGCCTTCTGGTTTCTCCTTCCCCCAAATGAGGAAACTAACAAGGCTGGGATGAGGATTAAGTAAGATAATATATATAGAACACAGCCTTGTACATAGCAAATACTCAGTAAACTTTAGTAACTTTTAGTGTAATTAGCTGCAAGTGAATGGTAGCATATGGATACATACATCCTATTTAAAAGAAATAATGTGAGTGCTTCATGGTTTAGTTTTTTCTTCTTTTGAGGGGGTACACAGGGTACAGTATCAGGGCTTCTACGCCATTGGAGATACAGCCATAGGAATGAATTAGAGCTGGGCCTCTCAGGCCACAGAGGCTCTAAGTTTCTAAGAATTTGGTTCTTCAGCTGTCCTGTTGTGTTAGCTTTCGGTGACTGCAGCAAAATACCTGAAAAATTAACTTAAATGAAGGAAAGATCTATTTAGGCTCACAGCTTCAGAGGGTTCAGTCTATGGTTACTTGGGCCCATCACTTTGATATGTAGTGGGTAGAACATCATGTCAGGGAATACTACAGTGGTACCTTGGTTCACAAACTTAACTTGGTCTATGATTTTAGAAAAGATGGCCATGCTTGTGTTTGTGTGAGAAAGGTGGCTGTGGTCATGTTTATCACCCAATGTGGAGTTTGCAAACAAAAACAAAATTTTGCCAAATGTTTCTGTTTGCAAACCAAATTGCAAACAAAAGCATTCATGAATCAAGGTACCACTGGAATGGAGCAAAGCTAATCACCTCATGGTGGCTAGGAAGTGAAGAAGAAGGGGTCAGGATCCCCATATATCTTTCAAGGACATACTCCCATGCCCCAACTTCTTTAAAGTAAGTCCCACTTCAAAAGTTTCCACCGCCTTCCGAAGATTCCATAATCCCTCAATAGTACTAATATAGCTTGGCTGGAGACAAAGCCTTCAACGTATGAGGCTTGGTGGGACATTTAAGATCCAAATCATAACACTCATTTGTCATGGCATCCTCAGCACTGGGTGCTCCATCAATCATGGATGATAAGTAAATTAATAAATTTATGGATCCATCCAAAGACAGCAATTTAGAATGGCCATAAGAAGGAAGTCTGCTTTGTATTTTGGGGTTTCCAGAAAAAAGGAGTGAAACGTTTAACACAGAAAGAGGAAGGTAGTGGAGCAAGTGTAGCTGCTGCCAAATGGACTGAGCCTCTAGGCCATGTAGCTGGACACTCAGGTCCAAAGAATCACGGTTTTTGTTTTGAACAAAGTCGGCTGTCTTAAGGAGGCAGTAGAGAGTGCTTCTTTATGACAGTGATAGTCTACAGAGATTTCCAGGTTTTAAAAGAATCATTCTTAAGGTGTCACAAAGAACACCTTATTACAGTGTCTGTCTCCCTGAAAATGAATCCTTCTTCTTTTGTACTCAGGGTGTTTCCCGGTTAATAATAGCCTCCTACAATGACCCCCGAGTTGTTTCACAGCCTCCCTGAGAGTAAAAGCTGCTCATTGTTTAGGTACTTTTTTTCTCCATTCCTAAACACACTCTGACTCAATTGGGGTTATAGAAATGCCATCCCTACTGACACATCACAACTGAATCAAGAGACAAGTTGAAACAACTGTCTTTATTTCCTTCTTTTCCTCATTTTATTTATTTAGGTTGAAATAGTTTTCAATGAAATTCAACAAGCATTTACTCTACACTCACGCTAAGCAAAGCACCATGCTAGATCATACTCAGCACAAAGGTCACTAGGCATGGTTTTCTGCTTTGAAAATCCTTTTGCTTGAGGATTCTTATGCTGACTGGCAAATTACTTCAGTATTATTCTTCAGCTTTTCTAGGGTATAGGATTCTTTTACCTGCTTTGTGTGCTCTACAGGTAAGTGCAAATTGGATTTAAGAACATTAAATAGAAGTCTTCAAGAAATTTTCCCAATCCCTCCATCTGTATGTTCTCTTTGTACTTTTATATTGTGCTATTATTCACTTGTATATATGTTGGACTCTATAATTTGGGGAGAGAGCAGGCACCGGGATGGGTGCTTGATGAGTGGAGTCAGAAGATCTGTTCTTGAATTTGAAACTAGGCTCAGATTCAATCATACAATCTTAGCCACTAATCTCTAAGGTCCTCAGTTCTACTTTTAGAATTGGGAGATAATAAGACTGTAGCTATGGATATGGAAATTAGTTATATGAACATACTTCAAGAGCTATTATCTATATGTTGATTTTATTATTGCCACATGATCTAGCAAAGGGCCTTGCCCGTGAGAAAAAGTTTACTAATATTCAATTTAGTAGAATATTCAATTTACTAATATTCAGTTTAGTAGAAGAAATTATACCTGCCACAGACCACAACTCTGAGATATAGTATTATCTTACTGACATTTTTTTCTTGTTCCAGGTTGAAAGCTTATCTGTAGCACCTTACCAAGATCAGAGAGGAAGGTTTGCAGGGATCAAGAAGGGCAAGTTTCCTGCAGGAATTGTTGTTTCAGATAGGGTCCAGAGTCCCTCCCCTCATGCTTCATTATCTTGCTTCTGTCTTAAGGGCTGATGATTATAATAGGGAGGACCTAGTAGTACAAAGTATAGGCTCTGGATAAGATAGTTGTGTGTTCAAATCATGGGCGTGTCTGAACTAGTTGGACAATATGGGGTAATGTAAATTTTTATCTGAGCCTTAGTTTTCTCCTCTCTAACATGGGAAGATCATACAGGATTTTATAATTCAGATTAATGCGTTAAAAAAACATGAAGAATTAGTTAAGTTCAATAGTTAAGCTCAATATACATGGACTACTACAACACTCACCCTTTGTAGCTAAACATTAAATGAACAACTATTGTAGGCTGGGTACCATATAGATACAGGAGGTATAAACCTCGCCATTATGTCATCAATGTAGGCCATCAGAAACAACTGGCCTACAACCTGACAAGTGTTATACCTTAAGTAACATCTGAAAGCTCATGGAACAGCACCTCTATGACAGACTGAAACAGGAAATCATGGACGGAAACAGGAAATCATCAGTAGCAATCAGGGAAGGCTTCCTAGAGGGAGTGGCTACTGTGAAGAGGCTTGAAGGCAGAGGAGTAAACCAATTCAACAGAGGGGCCATATTGAACAAAGATACAGAGGTCTGAGAAAGCATGCCCATTTGGGAAGATGGAGGATTCAACAAAATTTAGCTATGAAGATTTGTAAATGTCCATCATAATGGGTGTCGGTTTGCTTTGTGAAAGGATTTGTGTTCTTTTTCTGAGGGAACAGAGTGGCATTTGTCGATATAGCCCTGTCTCTTAGAAACTTTAAGTGTGGACAATCAAGTTAAGAAGGTATCTTAGTATCACAAAATTAAACATAGATTCAGAGTCTTCAGGCATGACCCATCCCGGTGCCTGCTCTCTCCCCTGGTGTTAAGGCTCATGGATGACTTAATTCACCTCTTTGTAATTTCATGATCAGCCTGAGATAACATTTGTGAGGTCTAAACAGGATCGTGAAGGTCAAATTCGTAGCACCATTTATGTCCCATAATAAGCATTTTAAATAAGGATCCGTTTTCTTGGCTGAACCACTGTGTAACTAGAATATAAAGCTCATTCCTAGGTCTTTGTCTCTTCTCTTCCTTCTCTCTTTCGCAGGGCAAACAGCAGCAGCCCAAGCCAGATGATTCCTACTCAAGCAAACACTCACTCCTAAGCGATGATTAAGAGGCAACCGCAAGGAGCCCGGGAGCTGGCCAGGAGAGGATGCGCATGCTCAGTGCGCGGGCCGGGATTTTGAAGGTGGAGGGAAGGAGAGCATGGGCGGGGGCCGCGCCGGCTCTTTGCGCATGCTCAGTCTCCGCATCTGCTCTCCATCTAGTGCCGCAGCCGGAAAACCGCAGCGGCGGCGGCGGCGGCGGCGGCGGGAGCGGCGGCGGCTGAGGGAGGGAACAACCCAGCGGGGCGTCAACAGTGTGTGCGTGGGGGGGGGGGCAGCAAAAAAAAAAAAAAAAATTCAGGGGAAGGCAGGCTCCGAGAGTTTGAGATTTGCGGCCTCTGCCAGGCCACCGCCTTTGCTGTCCGCAGGGAGGAAGAGCCGGGAGGCGACGGCGGCCGGAGGAGGAGAGGAGGCGGCCGCGACGTGAGGGGAGCGCAGAGGCGGGGACGGGCCGGCGGCGGCCTGGGCGCTGCAGTGATTTTGACATTTTACCCGGCTGGGTCCCCCGCGGCCGCCGGCCCTGCTGCGCTGGGTGGATCACCCGGCCTCGCGCGCGCCCCGCGCCCTGCGCGACCCTCCGCCCACCCGCGCGAGGCCGCAGGGCGTCCCCGGCTCGGAGGCGAGGCGGGCGAGGGGAGGGAGACTGGGCGTGCGGGCATCGCCATGGCGGGGACATTTTCCACAACGTGATTGTTAAAGACTCCCCCCCCTCCCGCGCGCCTTAAAATTCCGGGCCCTTCCAGCCTCCACCCTCCCCCAAGCCCGTGTGACTAAACCGAGACAAAGGGGAGGCGGCCTCGCTAACACGCGCGCTCGCGGGGCAGACGGACGGAGGGACAGACGGACGCGCGGACACGGCGCCGCCACATTCCGGTGCCCGGGGGCAGCAGGTCCCGCGGGAGGCGGCGGGCTCGCGGCGCGCGCTGCTGAGCTGCTGCCCGCTCGGTCGGTCGGCGGGCGCCCTGCGGCCTCGCCCGGCCCCGATGCTGGGAGCTCGCCTTTCTGGCCCTCCCCACGACGAGGCCGCAGCATGTGAAGGTTAGAGCCTAGACATCCCGAGGAGCCGCCGTGAAAGATGGGGGATGCTGCGGACCCCAGGGAGATGAGAAAGACCTTCATCGTGCCGGCCATCAAGCCCTTCGACCACTACGATTTCTCCAGGGCCAAAATCGCCTGCAATCTGGCCTGGCTGGTGGCCAAAGCCTTTGGGACAGGTAAGTGGTGGGTCTCCCTGCCCTCTTCCTCCGGATGGTGTTCACATCCCGGTTTTTGTTTCCAGATTCTCGAATCCCCCCTCCCTGTGCGTCTTCCCGTACGGGTTCGGGGAGATGAAAGGAGACTAGGACGAGGGTGAAAAAGGGAGAAATGAAAGAAAGCAGGTCCGGGCATCCGTGAAGACCCCCTCCCCCGCGCGTGGTCTGGGTGAATTTGGCCAGATATCTTTTGTTGGATGGCAGAAGGGTTCTTTTATTCTGTGAGGAATTTGACATGTTTTTACAGAGTGGTTTTAATTTGTGGTATTTTCCTCACTGTTCTGCATACATTTCCCCTTCGTCCATAATTAGTATTCGGTCATAATACCAAGAAATCTGAGTTTTTTATTATTGGTTGACGGACAAGTACATAGTGCTGTATTGATTCTGACATTTGTAATGGTGGCTGCTATTCCCAACCCATCAAATGGAAAGTAGCTGTGTCAAAGGGTAGTGTTAATTTTTGTTGTCATCTTTTGCGCCTGTGTCAGCTCTCCGTACACATTTCAGGTGGTTATAAATCATTTATTATAATCGGTGTTTAGTTTGCTGACTATGAGTGCTATTTGCCTTTTGTATTATCAGTAAGGCGTATTCCGCTCTCCACATGTATTTTGACTTTATAAATTAAGTGAAACAAAACATCCTCCTTTGGGAAAATTTTGTAGAAGCATAAGGGCATGTGCTATTGACACAGAAGTTCTGTAAGACAGTGACAATTAAACACTACTTCCATGACCCAGGCTTTGCGGAATAACAGGAAAAAGGCCTCTTGTAATTCCTTAGCTGTTGCTTTTGGAGCCCATGTTGTGGAATGCTTAAAAAATTAATAAGAGAGCTGGCTTTCCGTTGGAAGACCCTCCTGTAATTTAGTCTGATGACTTTAAAGAGTAATTTTGCAAGATTTCTTTTTCTTAGCTAATAAACTTTGGATACATAAAGTATTTATTGAGAAGTTACTTAGTGTTTACAGACCTTTCTGTGGATGTTAAATACAGGTTTTTGTTTTGGACAGGGATAGTGAAAACATGAGTAAATAGCTTAATTCAAATTTACTCTTTAATATACACAGCTGAGTGTTTCCAAAACTTGTGTGACTTTCAGGGTTTGGAAAATTATTTGAGTTAGTTTTGGGAGAAACTTTTCTTGGGTGTAATTTTGTGTTTATGACAGCCTTAATTTTATTCAAATTTTCATGCTTTGGCATTGTACTAGTATGGGGGATAAATATAATCTCTTTGAAAAAACTTAAATTTTAAAGATTTCTTTGGAATTAAAAATCTAGAGTATAACGTGTGGAGCACTGTATTACTGTTTTTTTTTTTTTTAAAGTTCCCTACAGAGAAAAGCAATGGAAATAATGTATTTTGGCTTTTAATTTAAGGAGAAACTAAATATAGTATCCATTTGGAGGATAAATGAAGACTATGTAGAAAGGACTGAAATTGATATAGTAACCTATGTGGAAAAGTGGTATGTATGAAATGGAAGGCAAAGAATGAGAAAAACGTTTGCCTTTCCACTTGAAAGAGAGGAGATACCTATAATACAGGTATCAGAATTTTGCTGTGTATTCACAAAGACTTCCAACTGGAAAATGGCCTACTTTCTGGATATGTGTCAGGCCAAAGTCTGGACCACTCGGTAATCACACATTGAACACACTTAAGAAGAAAGGAGGTGAAAAAAACATAGTATCAATGGAATCCTACTTGTCAGGCTCTCTGCTAGATGCTTTGTATTAAGTTGTACATTTGGACTTCACAACTCAGCTATGTGGATAGTGTATGCCTCATTTAAACAGGAGAATTGCAGTTAAACAGCATTCCCACTGTAGCACTGTAGTAAATGGTAGAGATTGATTTAATTTGAGGTCTGCCTGCAAAGAGTATATTAGTGAAGGTGGGACATGCCTGTTATATACTCAGAATTCTAAATACATAGATCATTTATTCTTTGTTTTGCAGATGAAGCAACAAGCTGAGAGATTAATTTGCATATTATTAAACAACTGTCCCTTGGTATATACTACGTAGTGCTTCAGGTCTTCATGACTCTTTGCTTTTTACTCTTCACTATTCTTCAGAGTAACCTTTAATCTGCAAGTGTAAAAAATGTGCACATAACTTTTTTTTAAATGGTTGAACAATTCTTAATTCACTTTCAGATGTTTTAGATGAATATAGTAGGTACTTAGTTGCATTTGTCGTGGTAACAGTTGGAATAGATGAAAAGATCATATACAAATTTGGATAAAACCAATTTTAGGAGACTTTAAGAAAGTGAATTTGACTCTGGAGGCTGAGGCAAGACGATCACGAGTTTGAGGCCACCCTGGGCTACTTAATGAGGTCAGGGCCATCCTGAACTTCATAGAGTGACCTTGTCTTAGAACAGCAAAAAAAAAAAAAAAAAAAAGCAAAAAAGGAAGAAAGTGACTTGAGAGCTGGGCATGGTGGTGCACCTCTGTAATCCCAGCACTTGGGAGGCTAAACCAGGAAGATTTCAGTGGGTTCAAGGCCGGCCTGATCTACATAATGATCATAATGATCTTTATAGTTCAGTTAGCCTGAACTACAGAGTGAGACCCTGTCTCAAAAAAATAAATAAACTAAATAAATTTTTAAAAGAAGAATTAATTAAATAAAGTGATTTTATAACAAGGAATTATTATATTATTAAGAATGTAACCTAACATGTTGCCATAGAAGTGCAAGTTCAAGTCTAGTCTAGGCTATTTTGTGAGAACCTGTCTCAACAGTTACACCCCCAAAATGCTGTGCTTGCACACTTCTTTTTTAATCATCTTTTAATACATAAATTTATAGCATTAATAGAATTTGATTTTAATTTTTGATTCATTTGCTACATTTATGCTGAAAAGGTGAGTAGACAAATATTTCAGAGTTAGCCAACTATAACCACACCCAGCTGAAACCTTTATTTTAAAAGTTTTCAAGTGTGATTTACTAAAAATCTCTTTTAACAGTGATGCACAGAGTTTTGTTTTGTCTTCTAGTAAACTAAATTTAACATCTAAAAACTAGTTTCAGAACCATGTATTGAAAAAGTTATTAAAGAATGAAGTAATTGAATTGTAAAAAATAAAACATTTAGCATTGTTAACACCTAGAAGGCAGAAATGGAATATTTATTTAATTTGAAGTCTTATATCAATAGCTTTGAATAATGTTCTTCTGTTTGCCCTAAAAATATCCAAATAGCCAAAGTCTTAATTTTGTGGATGAATGCAGCTACAATTTTGATCAAATGAAGAAAAAGTTTGTTTAGCTGAATTTCTAGCAGTAAACATATACTCCAGCTGTTTCAAGTACATTGCAGAAGAAGAATTTAACCCATTTAAGCAATAATGTGACTGAATTTGCTTTTAACTGCTCTGCTCCATTAAATACCTTAGGGAAATTGTAGGTACAGAACTTCCTGCAACATTCTTCCTTACTAAGTTCTTGAGTTTGAAATTCTTGAATTTCTAGTATGTTTATAGTTTCAGCCTTATCGATTATCATTCTGCTTTCTGTACTACTTAGTGATATAAAATTATTTCCAATTACAAATACACTTTGTTACATTTCTTTGTATATCCTAACAGCTCTTGTCAAAATGTGACTCAGGTGCTACCTCTGATGCATTATGTGAGGCTTGTGAGAGCAGTTGATAGTGTAGTGGTTGGTTAAGAGAGGCTTAGGGTAGCCAGACCAGTTTGGGATATTGCAGGAATCTGGGCAAAGGTAATGATTAGGCTTGAAATAGAGTGGAAATGACAATAATTCTACTAATATTTATTGGGCAGTTATTGTGTGTCAAGCACTTTAACATAGTACCTCATTTTAGTTCTGACAGCAGGCTTATGAGGTAAAAATATAATCATTCTGCCTTTAGCCATGAGGAAAGTGAGGCTCATTGGTTTGGAAACTCATCCAAAGCCGGTCAGTGTCTGGAGCTGGGATCTGAACCAGGGAAATCTGACTTCAGTCTGTGCTCTTAACCACTATACTGTATGGATCGTAGTTGAAAGACTGGAAAAGAAGCAAATGACTGAAAAGGTGTTGCAGAGATTTAATCCTTAGTGTTTGTAAAGGACCAGATTTGGGATGCATGGGCAGTGGTTTAAATGAATAGAGAAAATAAGAGGATAAGGTCACCTGAGGTTTTAGAGAAGATCAGGTTACCTGAGACTGAGATGTAGTGATGGAGGATGAACTGAGAATTGATGAATGAATTGATGAATTGACAGAAATAGAGCAGCAAGTTAGAATGGGAGTGCAATATTTTGAAAACAAACTTTGATGTTTCAGCCACATGTTTTGTGTGATACATCCAATGAAATAGATAGCTATATATGTAGGTCTGCAGTTTGAGAAGTTGAGGCTAGAAATAATAATTTGGTACTCTGTGTATAACTATAATTGGAATTGGAAGTACATATTACTATAGAAAGAAAGAAGAAATTTGAGATAGATTTAGAATAGAATATTTAAAGTGGGGGCAGGGGCTGAGGAAAAGGGGATAGAATTAAAATTACTCAGAGTGTTGGAAAGAGAATTAAGAAAGCATAAGAACACTGAAGTCCTAAAAGGAAAAAGTTTAAGGAGAGTGGTCTCAGTGTCAAGTGTTGTAGGTTTAAGAAGTGCCTCCGTTTTAAAAGTTTATAATGTAGTAAAGGAGATAATGATAAATGTGTAACTATAGTAGAGTTCAGGAAATATGTGTGAAGGGAACAGTTCAGGTGGAGACTAGTTAGGCAGGCATGCTGTGAAGAGGTCACTTGTGGCTTTCCATGGTCTGTGAAGGAAGAGCTGTGTACTGGAATTTAGATCCTGAAGAGTCAGGCCAAATTCAAAGTATTGTAAATGGAAGAAATTGTCTGAGTGGAGGTATGGGCTCTGACACACAGGTTTGTTAGTAAAAGTAATATAGACTAGATAGATTTGAGGAAATTT